CCTCTCTGGTTGAATTGAATTGAAATAATAAAGAAGGAAAGAAAACGTTAAAATAAAATAGTACTTTAAAAAAAAGAAGTAGCAAATAAATCTTCAAACCTAAAGGGTAGGTTGAGTTGGGAAAATTATTCATTGAAGTTATATTTAAAAAATAGAAATGTACTTTTAAAAGAAAGGGCAAGGAAAAAACACTCCTGACTAGAGGCTCAAAAGTCACCTATAAAATGCTCATGGACCAGCTGGTGGCATCGTGTTAAGGAGTCTGGATCCCACATGATTGACCACATGGTTCAAGACCTGGACCTGGTGACTTGAAAAACATGCTGGGCATGTGTGTGGGTGCCTGAAGTCCCAAGAAGAGCATGGAGGAGAAGGGACTGTGACATGATCATTCTCTCTTGGGGAGGGGGGGGTGTCCTTTCTCACTCCCCACACCTCACCATGAGTATATGCACTCTATTTCAAATTTAACCAATCCCCCCAAAGAAAAAATGAGAAAACCTCAAAACAACAACAACAAAAAAACTCATTGGGACCAGCAGTTAGTGTAATGGCTAGGTTGCTGGACTCCCATGTAGTCGACCACAGTTCAAGTCCCAGACCCGGTGGCTTAAACTCATACTGGGTGCATGTGCATGCGTGCCCAAGATCCTGAGAGGAGAATGGAGAGGGGATTGTGGCATGGCCATCCCGCTTGGGGGGTGATTTCTCGCTTTCTGTCTCTATCTTTCTGGCGAGCACACGCGCCCTATAGCAAAAACCTCTCCAAAAAAGAAAAAAAAAAAGAGAACTCACAGAAACACTACCAGGTACTCTCCACTTAATTGAATTTCTAAATTAATGGATTTGGTTATTTTCATATCAATTCCTAACTATATTGCTATTTTGTTATCCATCACAGTGCCTTTTCTCCTCCTCATACACAATTCTTTGTTTTTGTTAAGGCCCAAAGGGGCACTTAAAAGAATGATGATGATGGGACTAGCAGTTAGAGTAATGGCTATGTCCCTGGACTCCCATGTAGTCGACCGCGGTTCGAGTCTCAGACCTGGTGGCTTAAACTCGTGCCAGGTGCATGTGTGTGCGTGCCTGAGATACCAAGAGGAGTAATGGAGGAGAAGGGATTGCGGCGTAGCCATCCTCCCCGGGGGGTGATTTCTTTCTTTCTCTCTCTGTCTCTCTCTGTCTTTCTGGTGAGTGCATGTGCCCTATAGCAAAAACATCTCCAAAAAAAAAGAAAGAATGACTATGAGAATCGAGTGTTGGGTGGTAAGGTGACTAACATTTTTCTAATGCAAGTAACTTCATCTGTGAGCTATTTAGACAGTTTAGGGGAAGGAAGAGAATGGGAGGTGAAAATTTTCCATTGTCTAGAATAAATGAGCATATACAGAAAGATGTATATATTCTCTTCTCCAACCCACCCCCACAACCAAATCACTTTAATTATATCAAGGGAAGTGTTTATTTCATTTAACACATTCCCATACTCAGATGCCAAAATCCCTAGAGGAATTATTCTCATTAATTACTTGTTGGTAAGTTTTAATTGCTTGCGCTTATCTATAACTAGTTGAGTTTATGTTTTGTTTTCTTTCTTTTTTGGGGGAGAGGTTTTTACTATAGGGCGCGTGTGCTTGCCAGAAAGACAGAGAGAGACAGAGAGATAGAAAGTGAGAAATCACCCCCCAGGGGGGATGGGCACACCGCAATCCCTTCTCCTCCATTCTCCTCTTGGGATCTTGGGCACACACGCACATGAACCCGGCGTGAGTTTAAGCCACCGGGTCCGGGACTCGAACCACGGTGGACTACATGGGAGTTCAGCAACATAGCCATTATGCTAACTACTGGTTCCCATGTTTTGTTTTCTTTTCAAGACAAAAAACTTTATTTAGATTTACAAAGAAAACTCTGTTGATGATAATGTGTATGTCTATATCTTTGACTGAACCAACATACTGTATATTTGTGATGGGGAAATTCATTTGGTATGCTGCAATGATACACAGTGATTGAAGGTAAAAAAAATAAAATTAATATATAGGTATATGTGTATGTGTGTGTGTGCATGTATGTGTGTATGTACATATGTGTGTATGTATATGTGTGTGTGTATAAAAGTAAACAAAGCTTTAGCCTGAAAACGTATTCTTCATTCAGCAGAGGGTCTACCACTCCATATTATGTATCATTCACCCTTTTTTTTTTAAGGTTTTAGCCACGGAGTGCACGTACTCTGTGGAAAGACTGGGAGAAAGGGAAAGTGAGAAATCATCTGGCAGAGTCGGGGAGGACATCGTAATCCCTTCTCCATTCCCTCTAGGGACCTGGGCATGCACATACACATGTGCAGTGTGATTTTCAAGCTGCCAGATCCTGGACTCCAACTGCAATGGGCCAAGTGGGAGTTCAGTGCTGCTGGGCCCACTACTCACTCATTTGGCACATACCTAATTCCTTCAGGGCAGGTAGAGAGCCCTGTTTGAAGACTCTTGCTGTTTGGTGATTGGAGCTAAGTTGAGTAGAGTCTGATATTGGAGCAAAGTAAGCTTAGGTGTAGTCGTCCTAAAATACCAAAGAATGTTTAAAATATCAAAGAATGTTAAAAGCATGAAACAGAAGATGGAAGGGGGAAAGATCAGTGAAAGACTTTGTTTACTATGCAATAATTTTGCCTAATTCAAAGATGATCCCATCATCCCTGCTTTGGACATGATTTGTATGATACTGACAGTGGTAGTCAAAGTGTTTTCAGTTCAGCTCAGCAGATTTGTCTCCATGTGGTTCTTTTTTTTGCTGTAGGGTGCATGCACTTGCCAGAGAGAGAGAAAGAGAGAGACAGAGACAGAGACAGAGAGAGAGACAGAAAGCGAGAAATCACCCTCCAGGGGGGATGGCCACACAGCAATCCCTTCTCTTCCATTCTCCTCTCGGGATCTTGGGCACACACGCACACGTGCCCGGCGTGAATTTAAGCCACCAGGTCCGGGACTCAAAATACAGTCGACTACATGAGAGTCCAGGGACATAGCCATTACGCTAACTTCTGGTCCCTCCATGTGGCTCTTAACTTACACCAAATTTTGCCTATTCTAGGGGAGGAAGACAGAAAAGAAGAGCAAGAGTAAAGAAACTATGAGCCGAAATCTAGTTAATGGCTCCTGGTAGGGAAATTTACCCTTACAGGACCCTCTTCCCTTGCCATCTCATCATGAAGACTTGAAATTCCAGAATGCAATAAATACACTTGTGAGCACACAAGTGTACATGTGCACACACACACATACACACACAAACACATGCACACACACACACACACACACACACGCAGTGCTACAAATAAGTGTTGGCTATGGATATATAAGGCTATGGACAGAAACCCTGCAATCAGTTTGTAACAGTAACCTTAAAAGAAATCATGGTTTGTTAGCATCGATTGTTTTGTTTCAAGGTTTACTAATAATCTTTAAATTATAGAACCAGAACATTTTCAAAAATGCAGTATCCATAATTTTAACTGTAATCCATATTAATCAATTGAATACTATAGTCATTGAAGCTACATAATAGTATATATATGCTATACATAAATATATATCTTTGAGAAAAATGCATGATTTAGGAAGTATGTCTCTAAGCTGTATGCATAGAATATTGTTTCATGGAAGGAATAATAACATGCTACATACACAAACATACACTCACAATTCAATGATTAAACAGGACTAGGTACAGAACTTGCAGGGCCCCATGAAAAATAAAAGCGTAGGCCCCCTTGTTGGAACCAGCAGTTAGCGTAATGGTTGTCACTGGACTCCCACGTGGTCGACTGTGGTTTGTGTCCCGGACCCGGTGGCTTAAAACTCACGCGTGTGCGTGTGCATGTGCGCCCAAGATCCTGAGAGGAGAATGGAGGAGAAGGGATTGCAGCGTAGCCATCCCCCCAGGGGGTGATTTCTCGCTTTCTGTCTCTCTGTCTCTCTCTGTCTGTCTGGTGAACGCACGCACCCTATAGCAAAAACCTCTAAAAAAATAAAAAAGAAAGAAAGAAAGAAAGAAGAAAGAAAGAAAGAAAGAAAGAAAGAAAGAAAGAAAGAAAGAAAGAAAAAAATATAGGCCCCCTTGTTAAAAAATGTTTAACAATTTCAATACAGCAACAGCAGAGTGTTAAACTAAACATAAGTCTCTTCTCAGCTTGGAGCCTGTGTAACTGTACAGGTTGTACATCCCTGAAACCAGCCCTGATTAAATGGTTCAAGAAATTCTGGGTTTAAAAAATGTTAAGCAGATTTCTTAGAAGTGGTATTTTTTTAAAAATAATTATTTTATTAACTTTATTTATTTATTTAGGACAGAAAGTGAGGGGAAGGGAGAGAGAAAGAGACAGAAAGTGAGAAATCAAGCTACCAAGTCTGGGACTTGAACCACGGTTGGCCATGTGGAAGCTCAGCGCCCCTAACCACCATGCCACCTGCCAGACCCAGCAGGGGGATTTTCCAGAGCTTGTTGTGTTAATGTGCGCTGTGAACCTTGGAGAAGTTTATATTCTGCATAGCAGTCTTCAAATGCATTTGACCAAAGCTCTTTCGAGTTATCTTATAAGCATGCTGTAGGATCAGTGTTCTATGAAACACACATTATAAAACGCAAGTTGGGCTGTGCAGACAGGTCGTATCTGGTTTAACATCACTCTGTTAGTCATAAATCACTATATGTTCCATATTTTTTGTGGCATCTCCCCATATTTGGAATGAGGTAACTATAGCTGCGAAATGGTGTGAATTCATTATTTGGTCTTTTACCATCTGGACTACTTGGTTAACTCAGAGGCCAAACATCCCAAATGGTTCCTGGGCCAGGGTGCTAGAAATAGCCTGACACTACGTCCCAAGCCAACTTACATTTCCCCTTTATCTTGTCAATTCAGAGGAAATAGTATCCTTACTTACCATTACCCAGTTCCCAAGAAATGTTGTACTTTTTGCTGGCGCTGTACTTCAACAGACTCAGGGCACTAGAACTGTTCCAGGAGTTATTGGGATTACGACGCAGTGCATTTAGAGCAAATATCAGGTGGAGTCCAGAGCAATCAGCAAAGTTATAAAGTTTGTCTAGAGACCTGGCTGGGAAGAAGCAGAGAAAGGCTTGTAACTTTCAAATCAACATTCCAACAAAAGGGAAATATTAGCTACTACAAAAGGCCTTTCTATGAGCCTCATGACATAAAGAAGTATATAGGTATCTCAAAGGGAATGTTACTTTTTGGTCTGGGGTGCATTTCAAGGTGATTTTAGAAAGCAGCAGAGAATTCCAGACAGAGGTTGCAAACTGGCAACCAAGAGTAGTCCACCTACGTTTTTTGTTAACAAAATACTGAATTGCTGTTGTTTAAAAATGGGAAGAATTAGGTCAGCCAGTGATACGGTGGATAAGGTGGCCAGATTCTACATGACCAAACGTGAAGTTGGAGTCCCAGACCTGGCAGCTTCAGAAGCACGGTGGGTGCATGTGTATATGTGCTCAAACTCCCCAGAGGAAGGAGAAATGGAGAAGGGATTGTAGCATGACCATTCCCAATGGTAAGTATACTCACTCCCTACCCTGCTCTGTCTCTCTGGTGGACAGTATATGCCCCTAAAAAAACTAAAAAAAAAAAAAAAAAAAATTCACAAAGGAACCGGATATCTAACTTTTCTTGAAAAATCAGAAGATCTGGCACTGCTGGGTCTACATTCCTACATGACATAATAGAAACAGGTTCAGGGTCTAAGGCCAGAACAGGTGCGTTGCCTGGTTGGTGGGTCTTTGAAAATACTTTATCCTAGAAGGACTTGCAAAAGTTTTTTACTCAGATCTACAGTTCTAATATTTCTGATCATGGAAATGCCATAACCAGTACTAGTCATATGTTCATTGTTGGGTTGACTCCAGATCTCAACTTGATTGCTATGTCACATATCTACCCTTGTCCTTCACTTCTGTGGCGACAATTCTTGTTCTACTCTCATTTCCACTTGCATGAATTATTACAATGTCTCTACTGCCTGTCCACTTCCAGATTCATCTTCCTACGATTGTTCTCATCTGTTGCACTCCTCAAAACTTTGTCCTATTTATTATAGAACTCCCCGGCCACCAACCTTTACTCTATCACTCTCCCCATTTCCCACACTCTGATCTCTATTAAACATGTGGCACTTGCCCTTTTAAGCAATGTTTCCTAAGGTATGGATAACATGTCTTTAAGTGATATACAGTTTAAAAAAGATTTTTAGGTTAAAAATTATATACAGTTTTACACTATTCTAGTATTCATGAACTGAGTCTCTAAAGCAGAGTTTCTCAAATGGGGTTCTGTGGTATTCTACCAGAATCGCTAGGGGGTCTGCAGAGCGAGATCATGCAGAGTGACCAAGGTATCCCATTAACAATTTTGCTATAGGTCTTTTAGTTCTTTAAAGTAGATCTCAACCATTGTATTTGAGTCCATTATCAGTTTTTGAAGCAGGATATAGGGAAGCATTTTCATCTTCTTACATGTGTGAAAAGCATGCTTCAAGAAGCACCAAACAAGGACAGAAATTGTCTTATTTCAGTTGAAAATAAAATCTATGGGAATTTATCTCATATTCTATGTAGTAATATTGAGTAAGTGGACAACAATGAAAGACATAGATTTCACACTAGAGAAGTAAACTTATTTATTTTAGTTTCAAATGAACTATTAAAATTAAAATGTATTGAGACCAGCAGATGGCATAATGGTTGACCGCAGTCTGAATCCTGGACCCAGCAGCTTAAAACCACACTGGGTGTGTGTGCGTGTGTGCCCCAAATCCCGAGAATGAAGGAGAAGGAACTGTGGCATGGCCATCCCTCGTAGGATGTGATTTCTCACTTTCTGTTTCTCTGGCAAGTGCAAATGCCCTATAGCAAAAGTCTCTCTAAAAAAATATTAAAATGAATTTATAGGCCTATTAAGGTAATCATAAAGCCAATGCATGTGTATAATACTTTTATTATAATTATTTCCATGCCACTCACTTAGACAATGACTTTGTTTTTTAATCGTCAGAGGCTATATGAACTTGGGGGGGAGAGAGAGTACACCTCCCAATGGGTCATGGTCATGCCTCAATCCCTTCTCTTCCAATTCTCCATCATGTCAAGATTTGGGGCATACATGCGCATGCACTTAGCATGTATTTCAAGCTTCTAGGGCTGAAATCTGAACAGTGGGCAGGTGTGTGAAATCTTGCTCCCTTAACCCCTCCACTACAAGGCCAGCCCATCAAAGTCTTCTGTAAAATTGTATTATAGACCATAATTTTATTCACATTATTTTGACATATAGTTTTAGTTGCTTTATTATTCACTATTATTAACATATTACTTATATTCACAATAACACTAATTAAACTTATAACCTTATTTAAATTAAACTTAACAAGCCTATCTTTTGGCTTAAACCAGTTACTTAACAAAAACTAAATATGTTTGCCTTATGTGTTTTTCAAATTCATTAAAAGAAAGGAATAGTGGGAACCAGCAGTTGGCGTAATGGCTGTGTCGCTGGACTCCCACGTAGTTGACCGCGGTTCGCGTCCTGGACCCGGTGGCTTAAAACTCACACCGGGCGCGTGTGCGTGCGTGCCCAAGATCCCAAGAGGAGAATGGAGGAGAAGGGATTGCGGCGTGACCATTCCCCCTGGGGGGTGATTTCTCGCTTTCTGTCTCTATGTCTCTCTCTGTCTGTCTGGCGAGCACACGCGCCCTATAGCAAAAAAAAAA